CAGCTGCAGAGGCAGCGACAACTACAGCTGCGGGGGTCATTGTCTCCAGGTGATCTCCGGGGGTCAGCAGCAGGGTCAGCTTCAGTAGCGTCCAGGGCAGTGGTTTCTTCTGTGGCAGTGACACCCAGAAAGAAGACCTCCAGGCGATCTCAGGCTGGCAGCAGCGGAATCAGAGGCAGCAGCGGTGCAGGCGGTGGTTGGTTCCCATTCTTTCTCGATGTCTTTTACCCTTTCTATATATCACGGGCCACTGAGTTAAATCCCCAGTGCTTCTATTTTCATCTTGAGATAAGGTCTCACAAGTTGTGCATTTGGGCCTCCAACTTGTGACCTTCCTGCCTCCATCCCCCAGGTAGCTGGGATTCCAGGTGTGTGTCACCTGGCTTGTTTCCCATATGTTATATTCCGTTCTCTGCACTTGAATTCCTTTTTGCAGTCCCCATTGTCCAACCCGACCTGTTGCCAAAATCAAGATCCAGATTTTCACATTTTCTATTCAATCTGGGTTTTTCCATTTTCCTATCTTCACACTCCATTCCCCGTACTCTGCTCATTAGTATTACTTCCCCGCATTCTTCGGTTTCTATTCTTTATTTTCCATTTGTTTTTCTGCACACTTTGTACCTCTTTGTACATTTTTCTGCACCATTCTTCGTAGTACATAATTCTTATCCAGGTTCTACTCTCCATGTCTCCATTATCTATTCTCTTTTTTAAAAAATATTTTTATAGTTGTTGATGGATCTTTATTTATTTATTTGTATGTGGTGCTGAGAATGGAACCCAGTGCCTCACACACGCTAGGCAAGAGCTCTACCACTGAGCCCCAGCCCCAGCCCCGCATTATCCATTCTTAATGCTCTATTTTCTATCCTCCATGCTCCATTTTTCTTAGCCTGTACTTCATCCTCCTATATGTTTTACATTCTCCTTGCTGCACTGTACACAATTATTTCCCATATTCATACTCAGTTGTGATTCTTCATTTTCCATACCCCATACTTGGCACTCCATTCTTCAACCATCATATTCCATACACCATGCCCATCTTCATTCTCCATTCCACACTCACCATATCTATGCCCATTCAAATGCCCTTCTCCACTCTTCACTCTAGTATTCAATCTCCAGACTCCTTTTCTCATTCTCCAGATTCTAAACTTTGCATTCCATTTTCTATTCTCCATTCTCCACTCTACACAGAACATTTTTTATTATCCATTTCATTCTTCATTCTATAACCCCTTCTCCATTATCCATGCTCCATATTCCATAATCTTTTTTCCATATACTGTACTCCATTCTTTTTTTTTAAACTCAGGGACACTCAACCACTGAGCCACATCTCCACCCTATTTTGTATTTTATTTAGAGACAGGGTCTCACTGAGTTTCTTAGTGCCTTGACATTGCTAAGGCTGACTTTGAACTCGTGATCCTCCTGTCTCAGCCTCTCGAGCCACTGGGATTATAGGTGTGCATCACAGCACCTAGCGGTACTCCATTCTTCACATCCACTCTCCTTACTCCTTTCACCACACTCAATTCTCCAGTCTTTTGACTTGACAATTAGTACTTCATTCCACCTGCAACATTCCCTTCTTCTTTCTTCATTCTCCATACATAGCACTCCACCCCCTAGTCCACCCTTCCTTCTCTGCTGTTCATATTCGACACAACATTCTGCACACACTGTTCTTTATACCACCCTCCTCATACTACAGTCTCCATCCTGAACTCTCTACAATCCATTCTCTGTTCCATATTCAATACTCCAGTCTTCATCCTCTTTTCTTAAATCCCACTCTCCATTCTCTGTATTCCAGCCTTTTCCTCTATTCTCTAACTTAAATTTCCAAATTCCAATCTCCTTAATCCCTACTCCATTCTCTAGGCATCATTATCCATACTTTATATACTCTATACTCATACTTTATATCCATTCTTTGTTTTCCCGTCTCCATAGTCAATTATCCATACCCCCTTCTCCACTCTTTGTTATCAGTACTTCATATTCCAATCTACATAGTGTATACTTCATTCTCAGCCTCATTTCCCCTATTCTACTTTCTAGTGTCCAATCTTCATTCTTCATACACTACTCTCCAACTCCGAACTCCACACTCCTCAATTCCCCATTCTTAATACTCCATTTCCTACATAAACCAATCCGCTTATTCCATTTTCACTACCTTTCTTCAGTTTGTATGCCCTGTACTCCAAATAGCATACTATGATTCCCATTCTCTGTACTCTCTACTTAACAACATATTACATTGTCCATAGTAGACCCTGTTAAAAAAAACAAGATTGGTGTATGGATTATGGAATTAGCAATAGAAGACTGGTGAAGGACTTGGAATACTCAGAATGGAGTATGAACTATGGAAATAAAAAAACGGGAATAATAGAATATGGAATATTGAGAATCTAGTTGTAGAATGAATGGTGCAGTTATTATGCTGTATTGTTTAGAGTATAATGACAAAGTTCCCATACATGCAATTTCTTGTTGATTGAATCTCAGATGTGTAATCCATGTGCATTAATCTGTGTTACATTACTATAACCAAATACCTGAGGCAGGCCAACTTTATGAAGAAAAGGGTCTTATTTACCTCACAGTTTTGGAGGCTGTGCTTGGACCGTGTTTGTTGGTTGATGGTGGGTGCTGCTTGGCCCTTAGCTGTGTGCGGCCTCTGGCGAGCACCTCCCTGGAAGTGAGGAGGCTCCAGCTCCCACCCTCACTGGTGTTCCGTCTCTCCCAAGGCTGAAACACCTTGGAAAGTCAGGATTTCTGCCTCTGGTGTCCTCAGGCCTATCGGCTCATTCTATCCTGGACAGCTGCCGCCTCCTGCAGAAGCCCCTCCCCATCCTCCCTGGCCCTCAGCAGAACTTGGCTCTGGAGCCCTGGTTGCAGGTTCCGTGTTCTGCCCAGTCCCTGCCACCTTGGGGGCCTCTTGCAGCCCAGTTTTGCAGCAGCCTGTGGGGACTTCCGTGGTGCTCAGGCATCAGGCCCTAGGGTGGACACCACCTCTCCTAGGTGGGTCTGCGGTGCACTGAGGCCAGAGCAGGGCCCTTGGTGGGAATCTAGACAGGACGGGGTGGGCATCAGGGGCCCTGCAGACCTGGAGCCAGCCCAGGCCACCAGCCCTACAGTAAGCAGCACGTATGGCTGCCAGGCTGCAGTGGCCAGTCCCCGCCCTGACCGAGGATGTGGTGTTCAGAGCCACAGCCTGCAGGACAGCGAGCATAGGAAGGGGAAGGCCGAGGGGCATCAGGGACCAGGAGAGAGAAGGACCCTCCCCCATGGTGCTGTTGCCCTCCTCACCTGGAGCCAGAGACAGCCACGAGGCGGGGGCCCACTTGCTCCTGCTCTGCCGCCAACTTCCTGGAATGGGAGAAGAGGGGCAGGGGACGAGGGAAGCGGTGGCCACTTACCCTCTTCAGTGATTGCGGGTGTGGGGACTGGCCACTTGTGGGAAAGAGGCTGTTGATGAAAATGGAAGAATGGGTTTAACCCAGGAGAGTCCATGAGCTGTGGACCCTTGGGCTGGGCACGGGCTGCTGGGAGGGCTAGGCCTCCATCCTGCTCCCCCGGACAAAAGCCTCATGTATTTTCAGGAGAAGTTGAATTTGCACTAATTTTACATCAGGGAAGATCTAACCGGTCCCCAACTCACAGGGGAATGCAGGGTGACCCTGCCCAAAGCTCCAGCCTGGCTCAGCTCTGGCTCCAAGGGACTGCGTACTTTCTGGGGTGGTCAGGGCTCCAGTTCCTCCCCTGGCGGGGCTGCATGTTCCCACAGTCCATGGCAGGGCCGATGGGGCCAACGGGGCCACCCAGCAGAGTGCAGGCTGCTCAGCCCGGCCACCTGACTCTCCAGGAGCAAGGCTGCCCGCGGACTCCCCTGACGCTGGGACGTCACTGGGATATGGGAATCCCCACTGTGTTCAATGGAAACTCCCCACAGGAGCGAATGTAGGGACCTGAGTAAGGAACTTTCTATAAACCTGTCACCTGATTGTCACCCCTCAAGGCCTCTCTGCTCCACCCCTGTGTTATCCCAAAGCAACGCTTTACTTTGTTTTGTTGTGGTTTTTGTTGGTTGGTTGGTCGGTACCAGGAATTAAACCCCAGAGGTGACTGGCCACTGAGCCACACCCCAGGCTTTTTTATATTTTATTTAGAGACAGGGTCTCACTAATTTACCGAGGCTGGCTTTGAACTCACCATCTCCTGCCTCAGCCTCCCAGGCTGTGGGGATTACAGGTGGGCGCACCGCCCCCCACTTACTTTTGTTTCATGCCATCTTTATTGCGACCTTCATGAAGGTTTCATTAAAATAGAGAAATATGAAATTAAAGTTGGTGATGCAGTGAAGTGGTTTTGCATCCTGTGTAGGAACAGGAGTCAAGTCCATTGGCACAGAATCATCTCCGCCCGTGTGTCAGCCTCCAGGTAAAGCCACTCACAGCAGTGACGACGAAGCACATCTATGTCGGCTCTACCTGCATTCATTTAGAATGTGGACTCTCTCAATAGCCTCCCCTTCCAATATTCTTATTTAAAGTTTGGAAACCCCTCAGGATGTGATCCACTGTCTATTGGTGTGGTGTGATTATACCAGCAGCGGGACGCGCTGTGAACTTCCGCGTGTGCGGGTGACACCATCAGTCAGCTTTACCGCCCGGTTCGCCCCTTGCCCTCCCCTCATCCTCCCCTCAACTCTCCCCTTCCGTTTCCAGGAACCCCCTTTCCCTCCAGCTTCCACTCAGCTCCAGGTCCCGCAGCCCCGTGCGTGGCCGGCTCGCGCCTGATTTCCTTCTTTATGGCCTTGTGAAGCCCCGCAGCGTCTCTGGACAACTTGACCCCTGTCCGTGGACCGGAAGGTTCATTTCTAACTGCAACCGGACAAGCGTGAACACACGGTGGGAAAGGTGGCCGTTCCCACACCAGGTCACACTGAACTCCCACAGGCCTTCTCTTTTCTCCTCTAGATAGAACACCGTGTGGCAGCCAGGACAGTGACTGAGGGACGATCAATGTCACACGCCCAGCTGGGGACCCCAGGGCCCTGGCATGGGCTCCTACAGCCTCAGAGGTGAGTGACCTCATTCCCCCATGGCCATCCAGCTGCAGGGTGCAGCCCAGTGCAGGTGGCTTTGAGGAGTGGGTGTCAGCAGCAGCCACTGCCCCTTGTGGCCCACCAGCCTGTTCTCCACCTCCTGGAGCCACCTTGTCCCCTCGGAGGCTGATGGCCAGGTTGCTTTCCATGGCTGGTCTCAAGCTAGCCCAGTAAGGGAGAGGCCTCATGCCGCTGGTGGCCCTGTGGCTTTGTGTGCGGCCTGTCACTCCAGGGGCCTCCCACTGTGACAGCAGTAGTGGGTCCTGTGTGCTCAGGGACAAGGTGTATCTGCTGCCATCCACAGAATGCCGCTTTTTTTTTTTTTGGCAGAGCTGGGGATGGAAACCAGGGCCTTGTGCACAACATGTAAGTGCTCTACCACTGAGCCACATCCCCGGCTCTTTTTTTATTTTTTTATTTTGAGACAGAGTCTCGCTAAGTTCCTGAAGCTGGCCTTGAACTTGAGATCCTCCTTCCTTAGCCTCCCGCGTCACTGGAATCACAGGTCTGTGCCACCGAGCTCAGCAGACTTCTCTGTTTTAAAAATAAAAGGAGTAGACTCTAAATGACAATCAAAAGTGCGTGGAGTGGACCCTTAGGCCAGCAGTGGGGGTGTTCACGCCCCCCAGCATCGGGCGAGTGTGCACATCACACCTGGAGCTACTGTGATCACTGTGACGTCACAGGGTGATGTGGATCTCCTATATGCCACCCACCACTGTCCAGGATGTCATCCTGTGGCTTGTGCCCGACCTGGCAAGCCTCACTTTTGGGGTCTGCTCTGTGCTGCTGGAAGTGAGGGGAGCCTGGTCCAGCCTGCCTTGCAGGGCAGAAGGGAGCACACTGGGCAGACTGTGAACCTCTGGCTCCCCTCGCCCAGGTCCATGTGGGTGACCAGGATGGCCCGACTTGAGCCCCCCAGCATGAAAGGGGTGGTGTCCACACTGCTGTCCCTCTCTTGTCTCTCCTGGGTGGAACACCGGTCTCCAGGGCCCTGGTTTCACTCAAGTCCCCCTTGGCAGCCCAGGTGCTGCAGCCATGCTGACCAGGGTGGTGGATCCCCTGAGCCCAGGAATCCAGGGGCAGGAGAGATGCCGACTGGTTTGGGGCCTAGGGATAGGCAGGCATGTTCTTAGCTGACTTGGAGCAGCGTCTGGGGTACAGATTCAGGCTGCTGACCCAGATCTGAGCCTGCAGCCATGGAGCCTGGAGAGTGCTTGCCTGGGTCATGGGCAGCCCCAAGGGGCTCACGAGGAGGGGGAGGGCCTAACATAGGGGCAGGTATTAGTGTGGGGGGCAGCAGGAAGGCAGGGGAGGAGCAGTCACGGATGTGGCATCGAGGGTCCTTGGTGCCCTTCTGGGGGATCAGGGGCTGGAGGGCGGGGAGTCAGTGTTGAAGGTTTCCAGTCTGGGAGATGTGACGCTCTGGAGGGGGTGACAGCCGCGCAGTCTTGGAGTGAGCTTGGAAACCTAGTGATGGCAAGTTTCATGTCCTGTCTGTTTTACCACAATAACAAAGTAGTAAATCCATTTGTTTCTTAATCCACTTCTGGACTACTATGCAGAAACTTGGCCCTGACCAGAATACTCACTTAGTGTAGTTAGAAAAGCTTATCATTGTTTAACAAATGGGAAAGTTGTTTATTCTGCCGCGCTCTGGGAAATCCTTAGTGTCTTTGAAATGCTCTCGTTCGTTCGTTGTTTAAAAGTGGAGACTGTGCACCAGGACTGCCTGGGCCACGTGCCTCTGTGAGGTTCCATTTGGTGATAAAGACCCAATCTCGCCTCCTTGTCTCCCCAGGCAAGTGGTGGACAGGTGGCCATTGTCCACTAGCACCCTTGGCCCTTTATGAATGGTCCACGGCTGCTTCTGAAGGCCCGAGTGAGCCGTCAAGCAGGGACCCCAGGCCACGGTGCCAGAGCTGCAGCACTCACGCTCCGACCCTCTACGGGGGAGGTTCGTTGCCCCGAGGTCCGCAGATCAGAAACCACTTTGCCCAATGTCCACTTGAAGCTCTAAATTCTTCTCCTCTGCTTCACAACTAAAACTCACTGTAATGAAGCCAAATAAAATCAATTTTAAAAATCAGGACATTTGATCTGAAGGGGAATGGCCCTGGGATCTGGGCCAAGTGGCTAAAATCGTGGCGGATGGCTGAAGGGAGATGGCGTGGCGTGGGGGCAGGGCAGGTCCAGACACTTGAGACACCTAGGAGGGCTCAGGAGATAACTAGGCACCTGCGAAGAGGTCAGGGGAGGGACTGACCGCAGGGTCAGCCTGGGAGTCACCCACCCGCCCTGGAAGGGACTGTCCAGGGAGCAGCGAGTGCCTGGGTGGGTGCTGCGAAGCCAGGGGCCATGACGGGGCCACCTCACGGACTCCAGGGACCCAAGAGAACTGCCCTGGGGAGGCTAAGGCCGCCTGATGTGGGTTTGGAGAGGACAGCAGAGGTCTCCTCCCTGGGAGCTCTGCTCTGAAGGGAGCCAGATGGCTGGCAGGGCCAAGTGAACAGGCCCAGAGACATCAGCTGACCCCCACCCTGTGAGGAGGAGGGGTCTTTGTGGACGTGGTAGAGTGAAGGGTTTGAGGTGGGGAGATGGTGCTGGGATTTCTGGGCGCTCCTTATGAGTGGGAAACAATAGCAGAGGACACACTGCCATGTGGCCTCGGAGGCTGAGGCTGGAGCCACATGGACAAGCCCAGGATGCCTGGAGTCCCCAGGAGTCCTTCCAACATGCTGCCCCACTCCATGCCCTGCCCCGACCCCGGCTCCCACAGACACTGCTGCTCTAGACCCCTGGAAGCAGGACCCCATGTGGCTCACAAGTCAGTGTGAAGGCCCTGAGGCCCCCAAGCCAGCCAAGGACCGTTTGGTAAGGAAGAGAAGGCGAGGGGCTGCTCAGTGATGGACAGGAAGCAGCCACACTTAGGGCCACCTCCCCCCTCTGCCCCCAGAGAACCCTGCACCAAGCAGTCTGTCCAGATATGCCCAGACCTAGAGACCACTCTAGAACTCATCCCCAATCAGGGGTCCCGAGGGTCAAGTGGAGGCCAAGCCACTCATCCCACTGTCACACGACCCCAGGACAGGACAGGAAGGATCTGGAGCCCCCGTGCACTTGGCATGGGGTGAGAAACCAAGGCCAGAGGCAGTGTTTCCCAGGGACCTTTCCTGCTCCCAGGGACAGAGCTCAGGCTGCAGGACAGGCCTCCCGTGGGCAATCTGCACACTAGCCCTTTACCGGAGTAGTCAGGCAGGAAGGGGCCAAGGCCCCTGGGTCCTCTGTGGGATGTCACATTGCCCGAGGGAGGCCAGACCCACCTCACTTCCCTCTCAGCGTGAGCCCCCCATCCCGCAGAGGACCCCTTTCCCACCCCCACAGCTCTGTGCGCAGGCAGGCCCTGTCCTACACCACACCCTGGACCGGTGGCCCCTCCCAGGCCACACTGACCCTTTCAGAGCCTTCTCTGGTCAGCCCCAGCCAGACTGGAAGACCGCCCAAGACCCGCCCTCACCAGGCACGCACAGCTGACCCCTGGTGCCTGCCACAAACACCCCTTTCCCTCCTAACTCACTCCCAGCCTCCCTGGAGCCCCACCCAGGTCACCCTCTCACCTGGCAATCGGAACCCACAGAGGCCAAGACTGGCCCTCAGGCCTTGCGTCAGGGACTCCTGCCACAGACAGGGCTGACCTCCCATGACTTGGATGATTCTTCCCGCAGGGAGCTCAGCAGAGAACTGGGCCTTGGGTAGGTGTTGTCATTAGGAACCCTCGCTCCGCCCCCATAGGGGCGTCTCCAGGCCCTCGGCTCTGGTTCCTGGGGAAGCGGCAGCATGGATTTTGAAATCCTTTTGAAAATGTTTTTCCTTTGTTTTGTTTTATTTAGAAATTTCCCAAATTTTTACCAAGTTAAAGAGACAACCACAAGAATGTGTAGCCTGGATGGACGACTGGCATAAACAACCCCGCCCCCACTGCCCAGCCGCCCCGAAACCACGGCCCCCCAACTCAGCAGCAAAAAATGCCAAACACGAACAGGAAAAAAGGCAGTGACATGCACAGTGTGCGGCGGGGGGCGCGGAAACCACTCCATGACCAAGGGCACACACACATGTGTACACACGTGCAACACATGCCTGCACACACACACGCTTGCATGTAACTTTGCACACACGTACGGTTGAAGTGCATATGTGTGCAAGCTCATGTGTGCAGGGTGTACACCCCACAGGCACCATGCACACGCACCACTCATGCTTGCAGACACGCTGGGCTGAGGCAGAGGATCCCCTTCCACAGGCAGAGGAGCCTGGTGAGGGCGGGCTGCTGGGTCCACCCCTCACACTGTCCCTCCCGGTCATCCCTTGGCCTCTCTTGGCCTGCTTCCTCTTCACCTGCCTCACCTCCCAGCGTCCTTTGGAGAATAGAGTAGGACAGGGGTGGCAGGATCTGCATGTCATCTCACATAGCCACATAGGATGGGGACGCATCTCCATATTCCTAAGAGGTCCTGGAACCCTGGGGCTACTCCAAGGTGGGCACCCCTGAGCCATAGCAATACCATCCCAGACAGAGCCTGGACTTCAGAATGTGGAGGATTCCTTCCCAGAGACCCCTGGGATTGGAGGAGCCTTGGGATGGTCAGTGGATATGCAGGGATGGAACCAAGGACGGGCCATAAGGGCTGCCTTTAGAGCCACCCAGCTGTGCCTTGAGCCTGCCTGTCCCCAGAACGGTCTCTCCTACCAGAAGATACCTGGCCAAATGAACTCCCTCAAAAGTCGAAAGTCAGAGGACAAATGTCCCCACTGGCTTTGCTACCTTGGGGTCCTCCCCTAGAGATGGACCTCTTTAGTCTGGGACACTCCATTTCAAGAAACCAGGTTGGCCTTGGCACCCAGGACTTCCTGCCCTGCTCACCCAGCTCTGACAGCTCTGCACCCTGGGAGCACCGCCCACAGAAAGCCCTGCCAGCCACGGGGGATGTCCTGAACACCCCCAGGGGGACCCCCCTGATGGGGACTTTCTGGACCCTGGGGAGGCTCTAGGGGCGAAGAGGGTGTCCGAGTCCCAGGAACGTCACATCCAGGAGGATGGTCTCTTGTGCTCTGCGAAAGACAGTCTTGGCTTGGGGAGTTTTGCTGGCACAGAGACAGGAAGGAGAGGATCTTGGCTTTCCAAAATGTTTACTACATCAGGAAATTAACTCACTACGCACGGGCTTCAGTGACGGTGATAAAAACACTCGCGCTGGCTCAGGACGAATGGAGTCTGACCACCCCAGAGCTCCCTGCTTTCAGGGGAGCCTAGGGGAACTCAGGCGGGCTGGGGTCATAGGCCCTCCCCTCCCTGCCCCGTGGCCACCCACACTGCTGGGGCAGGGAGGGGTGCACGCTTGTCTTCACTGGTGCCCGACTGAGAGGGCAGCCTCAGGAATGTGCCCAGGAGGATGGAGACAGTGCTGGCTGGGGCGGGTGCTGGCCTGACTGCCATCACGGCTCCCCCGACACTAGCCGGACTGGTCCAGACCAGGGCCGCAGGAGGTCGGGGCACTTGTGTAGGCTCTGGGACGCAGATGCTGATGGGGAGAAGAGAAGGGACCTGAGTAGGGAGGGGTGTGCCAGGGAGGGCCCCCCACAGGCTCCCCGCCTCTCTTTGCTGGCAGAAGCTGCTGCCAGAGCCCAGGACACAGCTTCCAGCCCTGGCTGCGCAGCCTCCAGCAGGAAGGCCCCGGGCTGCTACCTCATCACGGGGCAGAGCCCCATGAGAAAGGAGGCCCTGGGCCCCCACTCCCCCCACCCCTGCTCTCCAACCCCCTCCAGCCTAACAAGCAACCCCTCGGTGCACCCTGCCTGGGGTCCCCTCATCCATGAGCCTGCAGTTCTTTGATGACACTCCCTCCAGCCACCGTGGCCTTCTCTGGCAGCATGTTCCCTGTGCCCATGGGGGCTCTCACCCCACATGTCCACAGCAGGCCTGCAAAGGACAGCCCTTCCTGGAGTTCAAAGCCCCAAAGATTAGTGCCCAGCCCCAGCCAGCTTCCCAGTCCCATGTGCTTTGCTGAGCTCCCTGGGTTCAGGTTTTGGGGAACATTTAGCTATAGGCGAGGGGTCAGAGGTTCATTTCAAAGGGCTCTTTTACTTCTGGATGCCGAGAAGTTCTGGGGGTCAGTAACAAGTGAGTCCTAGAGGACCCCTCCCTCTGGATTAGGTCTCTGGGCTGTCATGGAGGTCAGAGGCTGGAAGGAGGAAGAAGCTACAGGGAGTTGTGCCCTGCCGACTCAAGGTGGCCAGGGCAGCTGGATTAGGATGACCTGAGAGGCGGAGGAGGCTGGGGTCCAAGAGAGGGGCTCAGGTCAGATCCAGTAGTGCAAGCTGCTCACCCTGCCGGGCTCAGGGCCACTAGTGGCCCTAGGGAGCAAGTTCTGATGCTGTTCAACACCTCGCACCAGAGAAGCCCTCTTCGGGCCCAGATGGGGGCTGCCATGGAACTAGCACTGGTGCCTCAGCACTCAGCTTGGCTCTTTGGACCCCTTCTCCTGCCACCTTTGTGTCCATTCCAGCATTAGTTAGCCATGCCAGACTACCTTCCGGTTTCCCCAGATCTCAGCACCTCTCTCTCCTCTGTCCCCTCACCTGGATTGCTCCTCCTGCCTGCAGAACAAACTCCACATGAGCTATTGTACGGATGCTGTTTGGGACTGAAGGGTATTGCTTAGCCTCGGAGGTCTTGAGATCAGGCCAGGGCGAGGAGAGGCCTTCACCTCCAGGAAGCTCATCAAGCGTATCCTGCAGTCTTTCTCTGCAGCAGCCCTCACGACAATCTTGGGAACCCATTTTACAGAGACAACCTTTATCGTACTTTTCCAGGCCTTGCAGAGCCTAAGAGACCCTTTGCCACATGCCATCACTGGGCTCAGCCCC